AATACTTGTAATCATTTTGAAAATAATCAAATTTAAAACTGACATTAAGTCACACATTTGCTGCCAGTGTGGCTTAGCTTTTTTGCTCGCTAACATTACATTTTGCTGGTGTAGATAAAAGGATCCAGGCAAAGAACAAAAAAATTCTTCTATTACAGGGTTCAATCAGATATAGATACAGTACACACATACAGACAACACAGCCCTGTTTATTTGCACAGTTGCTACCTACACTACATGTTGTTTGTCCCATGTTGTTTACTGTAATGTACCATAATGTACCATTTCTAAAATATTAATAAAGTTCTTTTTCATAAAAAACCCCCATCTTGGTTGTGTAAGCATAAACACTATTCTGAAGTTTACCACATAGTCCTGTGAAAAAGTTTACACAAGACTCTATGTGGTGAAAAACTAACTGCACGGCACGTAATTCAGTAGCTCGCAGAACTAGCATTAGCAGCAATAACTTCAAGTAATGATTTTATATGACTTGATCAGTATCTCACATCATTTCCCCCCCACACTTGATCCAGTTTATTTAAGGTTGCAGGCATTCATTTATGCACAGCTCTGTTGAGGTCCTGTGGCTACAAAACAAACCCAAATCATCACACTTCCACCGCCATGCTTGACAGCTAGTATGAGGTCTTTGTTTTGATATGCTGCGTTTGGTTTTCACCAAATGTGGCGCTGTGGATTCTGGCTGTGGATATGGATTTGCAAAACATCTTTGCTTCACCAAAGGACATTGTTCTAGAAGTTCAATTTGATTCAGTTCTATTCAATAATATTAAATAATGGTAAATCACATACAAGGTCATCTCAGGGCACTTTATATTATTATATTGTAAGGTACTGGCCCCACAACAATATAGATGTGACCCCAACAATCAGAAGATCCCTATGAGCAAACAATTTGAAGTCTTTTACACATGATTGCTATGTTGCTAAATACAGTAAGCAAGGCAACAGTGATATAGAGAAATACAAAATTATTAAAGTGGAGAAAAGTAGAGATCGTAAACAACTGAAAGGTTTGGTAGACTTGTATCCAGCCATTTTTAAAAAAGTTTAAAGGGAACAATCTTAACAATTAATGTCACTCATGTCTGTGTGGTAACTTTGATGCTGGAGCCTAACAAGTACTGAAAAATATTCTCATAAACAAGGGAATCTGAACAGCTGACTCTTTCAGTCAAATTGGAAGCAAAACTAAACAAACCACAATACTGCTCAACTTTAATCTCAAATGTTAATGGGTTATAAATGTTTTTAATGGGTAATATAAAAATATATATATTAAAAAATAGGTTATATATATAATTTCTCCTCATGCAGTATTTATGATTCAAGAGAGAAATTAGCTATAGTACTAATCCTTGAATGGTGGGCCTTACTCCCTGGTGGGTTATGAAACATACATTTTTCTTCCCCACAATAACAACAAACCAGTAAACAACTGGAAAATTATAAGTTAAAAGTGTTTATGTATTATTTGTAAAATCAATGCATAATTCAGCTAGTGTGTGATTGTGATTTTTGGTACTGAAGTCAAGTTTTGTTAATTTCCCCGTTTCTTTAAAAGTTAAATCATGAGGTCAAAGCCTGGCCCAGAATGAACCCTGGCACAATGTATAGGCTGAATCTAAAAGACTGTTTGCCCAGACTTCGCCTTCCCTTCTGTTTATGTTCTACTGTCTGTCAAATGCGTAATACACACATTTAAACACATGTGCAGACACATAAATGCAGACGTTAGACAGATTGCAGAGTATAATCAGTTCTCCCAGACTGCAGCAGTGAAGATCCTCAGGCAAAAAGACAAGAAAATTAAAAATAAAGTAAAGTGTGATGCTGTGCTTCTCAAGACTGTGAGCTGCATGATGTTGAGAAATGTACAGTGCAATACTGAAACAACACATCTTATTATGCATTTGATATGTCATGCCCTGAGCATATGCAGGACTGAAAACAAAGAAATGTGCTCTTTAAAAAGAACCCTGATTACAAATATATTTGTAGTTTCAATTTCATGTAACCTTAATTACTAGACTTGTGCTTACTTTTGGTCTCATGAATTTTGTATAGATTCGAATATTAATTTATTTTGTCTATTAAGTTGTGCAGGATTACCTTATGTCTTTGCAGAATTTGGTCTTTTAAATTTCCATTCATACCTGCTTATGCTGGTACAGTTTCAGTGTTACATCATCTGAGTAGTACGTTGGGAAGAAGAGTGAGTCTTGACTATAGGAGATGCTTTCAAGAAAAACAGTGCTTTGCCATTAATCCACAGCCCAAACAGTAACAGGTTCAAATTAACAAGAACATCGGCAATTTCACTATTCTCTTAATAAAAAAATTATAAAATCTATAAAAAAAGTGTCATAGCATCCATCCAACATGTTCACATGCTCAAACATGGCTAATAATAACTGGGCTTGTAGGTAACAGAATAGAATAGAATAGAATACTTTTATTGTCACTATACAGTTGTACAATGAGATTGCGAGCATCTCCAACTCAGTAGAAACATGTGTGTGTGTGTGTGTGTGTGGGGTGGGGCACAGTTCTGCAGCACTATATACATATGAACAGGACTAACAGAAAAAAAAAATATAAAATGTAAGCAGGCTGAACAACTTGAAACCAGGGTGGGAACTGACTTTCATGATGTTTGCTGCTCTGCTGAGGCAGCAGGAGGAATAAATGTCAATCAGGGAGGGGAGAGGGCAGCCAATGATCTTCTGTGCTGCCTTGACTGCACTCTGAAGCCTTGCTCTGTCCGCCTTAGTGCCTCTGCCGTATCATACGCAGTATGTTAGCAGGCTCTCAATGGATAAGTGGTAGAAGGTCAGCAGCAGGCTGGAGTCCAGCTTGTACTTCCTGAGGACCCTCAGAAAGTGCAGCCGCTGCTGGGCCTTCTTGACGACCCCTGAGATGTTGTCTATCCAGGAGATGTCAGCAGAGATGAGGACACCAAGGAACACACTCCCCGTTGATGTATAGTGGGGCTAAGTCAGTGCTCTGCCTCCTGAAGTCGACAATGACCTCTTTGGTTTCCCTGGTGTACAGTGCAGGGTTGTTTTCTGAACGCCATGCTGCCAACTTCAGGACTTCCTATCTGTAGTCTGCCTTGTCTCCCTTTGAGATGAGTCTGACTACCGTGGTGTCATCAGCAAACTTGATGAAGAGGTTGTTGTGGTTAGTTGGACTGCAGTTGTGGGTATAGAGAGAATACAATACCTGGAAATACCTGGAAAACATGTAATGTCTGCAAATTTTGAACAAACATAAGTTTGAGTTAGGAAACAAACTAACTAACAAACAAACTAACTAACTAACTATGAATTTTAACCAAGAAATTCGAAGAATTTTTGTTAGCATTTAGTCTTTGGATCAATTTTCTGCTTAAAATTTAGTTAATTGAATTTATTGATTTATGTGTTAAATGCAACACATCTCGGAACTATGGATGAGTAGAAGGTAGGAAGCTCCTCAAGGAGATGAAGACTGGAAGCTAAAATTAGGAAAGGATGAACTGAGGTGCAGAAGACAACATGACGTCCATAACTGAGGCTCTAGAAAGTGCTAAATACATATACCAGAGAGATATGTAGGAATGTGTTTGTGTAGGAATATGTTAAAACTAATTCAGACAGTATTTGAGCTAGCACAGAAGCTTGAATGGGCTTGCTCGAATTTATCTATCAGATTTTTAACAATCCTTTGCCCCATGTCTTCCACAGACAACCAGATGTTCTCAGTTGCAGATATAAAAATCTGTAATTTCCTTTTTTTTCTTTTTAGCCCTTTTAGCTTCCCATTAGTTTTGGTTTATTGTGTCATTTTTCCCAGTGCATCTCTTTTACGGTTATTATTATCCTTTTGAATATTATTTGCTATTAGAATTTAGAATTTATTGCCCTACTTCTTATTAAATCATTACAATCACCACTTTTGTTATTGTTAATTTTGTGTTTCAAATCATATTTATTGTTTCTTTGATCATTTTACTTGCAGATTTGACTCTGTACACATCCTAACGGTCGACTTCTGCCAAAAACTGAATTCCTCAACTAACAGAAACTGTAATAATTAACCATTCCCACTAGATGGAGCTAGACAGGTCGTTGTTATAGCTCAATGCTGAGCTTCTTATCCACCCAGCTAAGACAACCCTATTTTGGTTCTTGACGAGTAATCCAGGCATCACACAAACAGACATACAGGCATAGGCTATAGTATTCTTTATTTCTTTTTTGCTTTATTTCCTAAAATCTGTAGATTAACATAAAAAACAAGAATCCATTAATCTGTTTTTGTTCTCTATAAATTTAAAAATTCAATTTGCCAAATTGTGTCTGTTCTTTGAATTTTTGTGGTGATAAATTGTCATTTATTGCACATTCCTAAGAATAAAGGGATAAACTACAAATAAAAGCGTTTTGTAAAAAGTATTTACTTATTTACAACTCTTATCTATGAGTCACAATTAGTGTGCAGTTGGACCTTCACATCTGATTTCATAACAAAACCTTTAGAGATGGTGATAACGAGACTTCGTTAACTAATGCATGATGTCCATAGAGCCTCAGCCACTTTTTATACAATTACAATTAATCAAAGAATGCTTTCAGACATGTAAATGATTGTTTATTGGGCCCAAATGTATTCTGCAGCAGGACAAAACCCCCAAAACACAGCCATAGTCATTAAGAACTATCTTCAGTACAAAGAAGAACTGGAAGTGATGGTTCGGCCCCCACAGAGCCCTGATATTAACATCATCGAGTGTGTCTGGGATTACATGAAGAGACAAAACGATGTGAGGATGCCTACATCCGCAGAAGATCTGTGGCTCATTCTCCAAGAAGAATTGTTGCTGTTTTAAAGGCAAAGGGTGGCCACACCAAATATTGATTTGATGTTGATTTCTCTTTTGTTCATTCACTGCATGTTGTTGGTTGATGAAAAATAAATGATTAACACTTCCATTTTTGAAATCATTCTTTATTTATAGCTCACCTGCCTAAAACGTTTAATTTAAGAATTAAATGATGATATAAATATGACCATATTTTTTTTATTCTGTATGGATTTTTTTTCTTTATTAGAAAAAAAAAAACAGCAGTTGTTGTATAATCAGGCATATTAGGTCCAAACAAGTCCAAAGCAGTATAAAACAGTAACAATCAGCAACATTTAGGTCTTCTTTTGCCTCTCTGTTCTACATTTAATCTGTGAACATGTACATTTATAGCGTGCAATTACAGAACCCCACTGTGGTAAGGACTCACCAGCATGTACAGACAAGACCTGACGCGACACACCCTCCCCAGTCTATAAACACACTGCTGTGGGATACATATTCTGGATACCTCACGAAGAGTAATAACCTTTTGTTGTTGTTTTGTAAAATTTAATCAGTAACCATCGCTTGCCTTGGATGTTTTTTCTGCTTGGCCACATATCTTTACACTTCCAACATATCAGCAGATCTTTCCAGAAAACCTGAAGTTAATTTTAACACATTGTAAGAATTGTCCTCAAAGCTGCAATAAACATGCAAACAGAGTATTTTCATTTAATATAATTAAATATTTAAGTGCTTTTGTTTGTATGAAATATGCTATGAAGCAATAGCTTTTACCTAAAAACTGCAGGTCATCCACTCCATTTCATAGGACTAAACAGCAGTGAAAGATTAAAAATTCGTCTAAATATACATTTAGTAGCACACACACACACACACACACATATAAAGAAACATTTTCTTTACTGACAGTTCACAGTACTAGTAAGCATGAGTGAAATCATCCATTTGAACCAGACTTCACACACTTTGCTTTTTGTAACTCTGCAATGTCTCTAATGTTAATTTAAAATTGGCTTTAAGAAAGTATTGCCTTATCATCATGCCATCACATTCTCTGCCCTGTTATTTAGACTTCTAAATTTAAGATGTCTCTTAATTCTGCTGATTGCATGCTAAAAAGGGGGAGTTAAAAGGTAACACAACCTCTGTTACTTCTTTAAGGGAAAAAAATGGATTCAAAATAATTCAGCATCCTATTGGCACTTCTCATTCTGTACACGTTTTAAAGAATCAGATTTTATTGTATATGTCCAATGTTTCTCAGTGTAAACCAATGTTTTATTGCTGTCTTTCTAAGTTACTGCAACATGCAAAGCAGAGTTCTGATTGTGATGATCCGATACCCATCAAACCAGTGCATAAGCACTTCTTTTTTAAAGCCATTTTTAAATACAAGCAAAATAATTTATATAAAAAAAGCAAACTGGGAAAAAAAATTTTCTAAATTGGATAGAAAGTGTCCACAGGCGGCTCACTAAAGTCAAACATTTGTTCAACAATATGGCTCTCGTTGTCTGACTGTTGCTCAGTTGTCTCCTCTGTTGTCAGTAATGGGAGCTGCTGTTGGAATCAGCACCGTAAAGCACTGATCGCATGTTGGTGTGGCATTGACAGATGGGGTTGGCGTTGCTGGAAGGGGCGTCGTCTTCATCACAATTGGTTGGTCAGTACCCATTGTGCTTACTTCAGGAGGGACTGTACTCCCCTCTTCAACAGTTGTCATCGCAGTAGAGGTCGTGACTGGCGTGGTCACTTCGGGATCGATAATCTCCTCAGAGGACAACCCCCCCTCCTCAGATGATTGACTTTCTGAAGATTCGCTGGAGCTCATGGAGTTGAAAGCATCCCCAGTGAACCTGTGGTGATAATGTTGGATTTTGTGGTCGGGGATATCGGCATCATGATGCCTTCTGAAAGCCATCTGTGGTGGGAAAACCAAATAATAGAGACAATACCCTCAGATTCTGTTAAATAAGCAAAAATCTGTGTTTGTCTGACAGAAAAATATAATTTTAATGACGGTGTTTAAAAGGTTTAAAAACACTTTTAATGTAGCCCCACAATTCGCCGAAACATAAATTTTATGTCCCTTAAAGTTACAGAGAAATGTTTTAAAACGATCCCGAAACAACCATTAATCAGCACAGACTTCTTACACGCTACTGTCACATTTGGAAGAAAACATCATTCAACGTGAAAATATCCCAACAAAGACCCAACAAAGACCAAATGTATGAATAGAATTTTTCATTTAGGACAGGTTATAAATGAAATAGATGGAAAATTACCTTATTGTGATATAAGTTGAGGATAAATGCCACGATGAGGAAGTATCATAAAATAAATTGAAAATTTCAAAAAAATGTTTTTTATTCATAAAAAAGGTAGATTGAAACTGGTTGAAATCCAGTAAACAATCTAAATGCTCAAATGGACTAAAATCCTTTGCACATAATCCTATTTGTTTTATATAAACATTTGCGTGCTGTTGGATGTGTGGTTTGGGAGTATGTAGGCTGTAGTTGTTTGGATGGCACTAATCCCAAAGTGTCATCCCAAATCATAGCGTGTATAAAAAGATGGACATATCCGCTGTGACGTCGCCCACTGGTTTGTGAAACCCCGCCTTTAAGCCTTGTGGCTGAGCATCTTGGTGTTTTGAAACAGGGCGGGATGAGGGTTTATCTGCTCATAAAACCAAGGGATACACATCTGTATGATAGCTATGCTGAAAATTACAGAGTAGATCAGCACAAAGTAATTTACTGAGCAAACTTCATGTTTTGTGTTTAACCTAGTGGTTCAAACCTTAAAATCAGCAGCAAAGTACATCTGACTTCTTTTTGAAACCAATGGAGTCACTCCCCACTGTTCATTTGAAGGACTGCAGAGTGATGTCATGTTTCAGACCAAGACCTATGCCAGTAGACACTATGCATCCCAAAGTGTTGGCTAGTTTAATCAACTAATTACTCAAGTTGAGGGTCACACATCCCAAGGGGCACAGCTTCCTGTAACGCCAACAAATTGGTAGAAATCTATGAAATGCGGTTGAGTTCAAGTAAAAAGTGGAATAAAATGGAGAAACTCGAGTAAAATATAAATATCTCAAGTATCTCAAGCTGAGACAGATGGCAAGAAAACAGCTTAAGTGAGGAAGATAAGAGAAGTTTGCGGTTCCTTTGCGGGTTAACTTACTGGCTTGGCAGATGTTGTTGTAAGAAGGGCGATGACGAGGGCGGTTTTCAGAAGTTCCATTTCTGATTGATTGCTGTCTGTGAAGGAGGGAAACCACAGAGAAAAACAGTCACACAATCCAGAAACAAGACACTCTGACAGGGTGGGCATGACGGATGTACACCGAAACGTGTTATAAATGAAATTAAAATTTAATTAACAGTTGTTCATAGAAGCAGTTATCATCATCAAATTTTATAAAGTATGAATTAAAAAACAAAATACAATCTGTTAAAATAATAATAAGAAGAATAAAAGAAAAAACTCACCACTTTCTGGTCTGTAGTTTATAAATTCTTTTAAATCCTCTGTAAAATCAATCCAACTCTCTGCTGCTGTTTGTTGTTTATCAGTGTGCAAAGGTGTGTGACTTCAGTGGAGACAGTGGCTCATATATACTGCCTGGCAGAGAGCTGGGCTGGGCATGGCTGTGACGAGGACCTGAGAGAAGGATTGAGTAATACTGTGTTTTCCAGGGCCAGAGTGAAAGGGAGGGACAGGACAGAAGGTTTTTAGCACACAATATAACTCACCAAAATGCTACAAAATTAGCACTGAGATTATTTATCGTGTCTGCTGAGTTATGAGCTTTACTGGCAGATGCTTGCATTGTTTTGATGATCAGAATTAAAGACGGGCTCTGAGTCTGTGTAAATACCTTCTTGTAAATGAATAATTACACCTCAATGAGTTTAACAGAATATACAAATGGGAGCTCAGCGTGAGGGGTTGAAATTGGATTTTGCTCCAATTTCAAACCCTCACTCTGAGCTGTCTTTTTATTTATCATTAAATCATTAAGTCTGTTAAATCTAATTTCATGCAAACACTAAGACCTTTACAGAGTGTTGGAGCTTAAAGAACATTTTGCTGTGATCTTTAATCTGTGATCTTTAAAAGTGTTAGCAGGTGTCGTAAAAGGGGGTATGTTAGGCACAAGGGGGTGATGAAGGTTAAGTAAGTAAGCAGGATGTGGAGCAACAGTTTTCTGACCGTCGTGGTTTAGTTGTAACATAAAAGGAATGTAAAGGGAGCTCCCACCAGAGGCATTTGTTTTGGATTTTTCGGTTTGTATGGAGAATAATTGTTTTCCTTTTTTACATTCACCTTGTTTTTGCTACCGAAAAGCATACAAGCGATTCAAGAAGAGCACGAGTCAGAAACTTTACGTCCTGCAGAAGCGGCAAAGAAGGACCGAAGGTTGCCGCTACACAGAGCATTGCTTTTGTTATTCAGGGACGGTCAAACTCAGCTGTAGTTAGCATCTCTGTCAATTCAGTTCAATTCATTTTTATTTATTTGCCACAAAATCAAACAACAGTTGCTTTATATTGTAAGGTAAAATCACCCCAACAACCATATTACCGCCTATGGCCACAGTTCATGTAAAACATGCAGTCATCATGAGAAAACAAGTAAAACACCAAAATAAATAAATGCAAATCAAAAAAGTCAGATTTATTTCTGTGCGTCCTCTTCTATGCCTCCCATTAACAGTGTATATAAAAGATGGAGAAAGCCACTGTGACAGCACTCGGTGGTTTGTGGGTCATGTTTTGAAGCCTTGGCTTGATTATTTTGGTTTCCTTATTTTTTCCTTTGCTTGAACACAACAATCCAGGGTTAGCTCTCTGAGTAACTGAGGACACACTTACTGGAAACTTATATATATATATTTTTTTTCTCTTTTGTGTCCCGTTTGGATCTTTAGCCATCAGAATTGTTGTCTTAAGGCCAAGACAGATGCCAAGCGGATTTATTTTACCAAGTGGATCATCATGGCCTTGCCATATTGGTCCATTTGATTGACCTTTATTATAATTATGAATTCATTTTATTTTCAGATGCTACAAACGGGACAGACATGACTGGGGGATAGGACAGGGAGAAAGAATGAAAGAAAGAGAGGGAGGGAGAGAAAGAAAACCAAAGGGGAGAAGAGACAGTGAGAAGGGGGGGAAGAAAGAAAGAAAAAAAGAAAAAGAAAAAAAAAACACCTGGATCACCTGTATGGAGAAAAAAAACAGAAGAGAAAGCAAACAACAAAGAGCAACATAATAAAAAAAACAGCTCCATCACAATAAATTAGCTAGCAGTAGATATCAGTAGATACTAAATAATAAACGATATTGTGCAGCACGCAAGATAGACAGCGCACAATGTGCTTTGAGGCAGCAGCCAAGAAAGGTGTAGTCCGCGTCTGTGAACACCCGTGTGTACACCTGTGTGCATACCTGTGTGGATCAGCATGCTTGTATTCAAAAGGTTTCTCCATGTAACGATCTGCTAGGGAGTGTGGGGAGCCACAGCCCCGTCCACCAGGGTATGAAGCAGGTATGGAGGAGATCCAGGCCCCAGATATCCAGAGGCCCCAGAGTACAAGGACCCGAGGAGGACCACCAAAGGGGGGGGGACCGTGCCACCCTCCTGGGAAGAGCTGAGTAGAACCCCAAAGGAGAGGTCACCCCGCAGCTACGGAGCAGAGGCCAGAGGGGGTTGCAGTGGCGTGCCCGCGGGCTCTGCTGGCAGCCAGCTGTGCCAGAGAGGACCGAGCTTCAAGCCCAGAGGCCAGAGGGCATCCCACCCCCCGGAAGGAGCCCAGCCGGGCCACCAGGAGTGAGCCGGTACATACATGAGCGCCCAGCCCCAGACGACAAGGACCACCAACACACCAACGTCCGAGGGCATCAGCCACCGGCAGGGAGTGTGGTGAGGGGAGATAGGCCTCCATACTTTAGAGGGCCTGAGATGTACCCAGAGAGTCTAAGACCCAACCTGACATATAGACACAGACGAACAGGCACACGTGGACACAGACGTGCATTCCCACCCCATATGCACAACCAAATACTCGGCACTCACCCAACGTGTAGACAGACACAAATAGACACTGCACAGACAGTCGCACTCCCCAAACATACTCTATATCCCAGGTCCAGGTACCCCCGCCCTCAGAGGGGCAAGCCGCACCTAGACCCAGGAGATGTAACCCTTCTCTCTGGGGTGGAGGCAAGCGGACCACCTCCTTATCTGCAGTAGCAGGGAGGCCCCGCATCCCAGACCCCAGTCTGACGGCCAGCACCTCCTCCCAGCCCCCCAGCCCTGACGGCTAACAGAACCGGGGTGAGTGAAGACCTCAAACCTCCCTACGCCCGCTCATATGTAGTGTTGCTGTGTGCTGTTCTAAAGTGCATTTAAAACTCAGGAGAGCATGGTACTAGCTTCCTCTCAGAGAGCAGCACGGCTCTTCCCGAAAACCCTTAGTGTCTAAATGCATTTAAAATTGAGGGTAGGGCACCAGCGCCAGAGGTGGGTTGGAGTACACCGACCCTCCTCTGGATGCTGTAAAACGTGCCCACCCCCAAGGCCCTATATGTATGTGTTATGTGAGAGTGTGAGTAATGTGGATGTCTAGGTTGCCGAATAAAATTGAGGCACTTATATATTTTTTAAAAATTAATTTAACAATTTAAATTTACATTTTTTATTCTTTATTTTTGATATCTTTTTGTCTTTTATTTTAGTAAATTTTTAGATTAATTTGTCTTTTTTTGTGGGCATTTGTGTCCAGGCAATGCGTACCTCACTGTACAATACCTTGTGCAATACTTTTTGTAAATAGTCAACAGTGCAATAGACTCAATACTTGAAATGTGCAATTCACTTGTATTTTTATTTTTTATTCCTATTTATTCTATTTATCCCCTTTGTATATTTTATTTATATTTGTCTCTGTATTTATATATGTGTGTGTGTGTGTGTGTATATATATCTATATATATATATATAACAGTTCTGTAACTGTAACTTCGGTCGTTGCTGTGCTTTTTTTTGGAAGTCGAATTTCCCAGAGGAACCCACCCGAGGGATTAATAAAGTTCTATCTTATCTTATCTTATCTTACCATTCACAGATTTTTCACTTATCTGTTGTTTGCTCTATATAATATCTGATTTTCCTTTGGATGTGATTAATCATGAGACTGTTATAGGTGATTTAGGAGGACGCTGCTTAGTGTTTAATTATCTGATGAAGAGCTGGTATGCAAACAACATCACTAGATGTGATAAATAAGTAATATGGATTTCTGCAGAATGCGAAAACATTATTTCATGGAAAAACTGTTTATTAAATTCACACATTGGTTCAATGTTCCCTCTAAGCTGCGCACGTGCGCAATTGCGCACTGCTGGCACGGTCTTTGCGCACAGAGAATCAGAAAAAAAAAAACTAACCTGAATTGAAATTAAAATTAAAACTTTAACAATTCTGTTTTGCAGTGTTAGTCAGTGAGTGACTGGCTGCTCCCGTATGGGATTAGAACGATGCCACCTTATCCCATAGTCCAGCCAATAATACGATTCACATTCGTATATAGGCAGCTAGTCAACGTCGTTGACAGGCTATGATAGCGTCCTCGTGTGCCGACACCGGTGTTTTAGCTAGCAAAGCGGCGTGGCTGATGTGGAGTGAAACACGTTAATGACAACGTGTACAACCATTGGAGATGTGAGCAGGACAGACGGAACAATAGACAGACAGAAGAACTGTGGACTTTATATCAGTTTTTAAATTGTGTTGATAGGCCACGTAAAACCAGAGTTATGATAAAAATATATGCAATGTTTGGTTTTCTTCCTGAATACTGTTGTTGTTTATATTTACTGCGGGAAGAAACGGTAAAAACGCTTGAAAGCACTCTCTGCCTATGAGCAAAAACATCCCCCCCCCCGCCTTTCCTATTGGTGGAAAAATGTACCATGTCGACCAATCAAAAAATGATATGGCAGCATGGCATTTAGTTGTTTAGGAAGGGGGGACGTTTTAGGAGTGACGGCAGTGCTTTGAGATGTGAGAGATTTGCGACGTTTAGCGCAAACCTTGTGTAGTTAGTGTGTAGTGTAGTCAATAGTTTTGTTGTGTGTGTCAGAACAATGAGGTGACTGCTGAATGTTACAGGTGTTACAGGAGTGATACAGCTCCTGTTGTCAGGCCTGCAGGTATCAGGCTGTTGTTCTCCTTTATCTCATAGTGGAGAGAAATTATTTTTTGGAGTGGCACAAATAATTTGTGTGGCATCAAATTTGATGCAGAACAGCTGATTGTTTTGAAAATAGTTTGAAATATTTATTTTTAAAAAACGCCTTGGCTGCATTTTTAGGTAAACAGCTGCAAAAAATGTTGTTGTTTGCATAACTCAGTTACTTTTTTGAAGAAGTAACTATATAATTAATTGCCCAGCATTGGTCATTATATACTGTATTTTACAGACAGAGAGTTACAGGAGTCTCTCCCAGACCACAGACTCATACTCATAATACAAGTCACAGCTTTATATATATATAAAAATAAGAAAGTTGTGTTTTCAAAATTGGAGTTCAAGTTATTTTTACTTCCAATAGTGTTAACATACTACACAGGTCATGAACAAGATTTTTTTTAAAATTTTCATTGTAAGTGAGCTGAAGCAGTTAATTAAAAGTAGTCTAACATAAATGCTGTAATTTGATTATTTTAATAAACCATGTAACTTGGATGCTGGCGTGACCACATTGTACACGTCTGCTGTTGCTCACAGTGGTCCAAAGGGACCGCTCAGGGAGTTTGTGTGTTCGCTCAGACACATGAAAAATTAGAGGAAACATTGCATTGGTTTCTTTTACGTTTTCCTGTGCTCTTAACATGGACTTGTACTTGCCGTCATTCAGCTGAAACACTGAAAATTTAATTTTGAAGGATTTTTCAGAAGTGGACAAAATGCTATTAAGACTATCATTTGGGTTTGTTATCATTATTAATGACTGGAGGAAATGTTCCAATGTATTAACAACATACAATATTAAAGGCTTGAGAAATGTAAAAGCAGTCTTCATGAAAATTCTGACTGCAGAAAGAGGATTTCAAAACAATGGTGATAGAAGTTTTGACTAATGTTGTGGTAAAGGTTGGACTTAAACTTGACGCAGCGAGAGCAGATGACAAAAGTCAGGTTGACATGGTGAAAAATGACCCAACACAGAGACAGACTGTTGAGCAGTCAGTGGAATGTTACAGTCGAGACAGAGTGGAGCTGTGCTTTGATCACACCTCTATGTGTGTGTGCGTGTGTGTGTGTGTGTGTGTGACACTACTGTGTTACTTCATCACCCTTTCCAAATTTCCTCTTCCTGTCTCTTCTCCTTGCAGAAATCATGCAGAGAACTGCAGATGACACATGAACAAGAAGAATTGTGGAAATCTTCACGTCAGACATTTCAGTAATTCTGAAATAGTTCATACCTTATACATAACCTCTTTTACACTTACAGAGCAAATATATAGAAAACAATTAGTGAAACCTCCAACCCAGTGAAAATTGCAACAGACATTGCAGTCTACTTCTTCTTCTAATGTGCTGAAGAAAAAGTTGTCAAAGTGTAACATTCACTGGCTTTGTGTACACAGCAAAACATAATATTGGCATTACTCACCTGTCTGAGTTGTTAAAACACGTTAATCGTGTAATGATGATGATTTACCTGGCAGGAAACATGGCGCCTAAGCGGCTCAAACGCTCAAAAGTTTGGTCATACTTTACGAGAACGGATGAAAACAGGGCAACTTGCAATACTTGAAAAGTAGATATTTCTACTTAGATTAGAAGTAGATTAGATAAATAGATTAGATAAGTAGATTAGATATAGATCTTTCATTTAAGGGAGGAAACACTATGAATATGCAAACGCATTTGCTCACAAAACACGTGATAACCTTAAAATGAATGCCGTGTTTTTAATTCCGCTCCGGACTCGTGAATCTCAACCCAGCAGCAGCGGTAACATTTGCAGGTTCTCTCCCGTTAATGCAACAGGTAAATAATCAACTAACAGTGCATATTATGTTAGCGCAATTTGCCTTATTACAAAACCTGCCATTACTGTGCATTTAGGTGACCATGATGAGAGAGACAGACAGAGTCTGGCTCAGATGCTGGCAGTTCTCGCTGCAGTCTACCGTTAGCGTCTTCTTTCAGGCCAGGATAGACGAACGTCACCGAGCCGGGACTAAGTTTGTGGTCAAAGGCTTGCACCCATTTGCCACAGCAGATGCCCCGATTTTCGGTAAGTGAATGTGTTTAATTGTAGGCAGGGACATTACTGGATATTCTTGTGTAATTGCTACAAATAATTTATGTTATACTTTGTTATTGCTACAGAAGAATGTTTATTTTATTATTTTACATTTATAATTTTTTTTCCTGGGGACCCTGTGACACCTCATTGAAGAGCCGTAGGCTGGATCTCTTAAGATCTCACTGTTGGGTTTGTAAGGCCATGTTACTCCTAAATTTCTATCTTGTTCAAAGAGAAGATATAAAACAAAGTTCTAAGCTCGTCGACCTTAGTGTTCTCCTTTTTTAAAAAGAATCGATAAAGAATCGAATCGTTAAACAGAATCGAAAATGGAATCGGAATCGTGAAAATCTTATCAACACCCATCCCTAGTCCAGATTACTCCATTCAGAAGCTAAAGAACTGGCTGCAGTGAGGCCGAGTGGTTAACCAGACCACACAGTTTATAAAAGGTGGATTTGCAGTTATGTGACAAACAGTTTTCACATGATTCTATGTGGTTGGGTGAAACTCTTGTACAGCCCAGGATTCAGTAGCTTGCAGAACCACTTTTACCAGCAACAACTTGAAATAATTGTTTTCTGTATGACTTTATCAGTCTGTCACATCACCGTTCACTGAGGATTATAGGGATTTGTTTATGAACACCTATGTTATGGTTTCGCCACAGGTGTTGCGATGGACTGTGATTGATGCAACATCTTTTTGTTCTTCTTCTTTTCTGTTTCAGCTGTTCTGTTGTAAATTTGTCCGGTTACATAAACTCAGTCCACCTTTAGCTGTTGGACGGATGGTCTCACATTTGACTCTGTATACAGAAGAGTTCATGGCTGAGTGAATGACTGTAAGGTGCTCAGGTCCTGTGGCTGTAAAACAAGCTCAAATCCTCAAGCGTGATCCCCATACTTAACTGTAGGTATAAAGATCAATTCTTTAAGGTGTGGGAACCATACTTGAACTATGTAGAACCTGATGTTTCTAATATTATGTTACAAGGATTCTCTTGAGTGTTTAAACTGTAATGGAACTGAGCTGTTTTTTTGTTTTTGGTTTTTTTTGGGTTTTTTTGTGTTTAGTTATCAGTTTGTTGTTTGTTTTATGTTTGTTTTATGTTTGTTTATTTTTTTGGTTTTGAATTGTACACTGTATTATGTTATGTAATTATGTACTATTTGTGAAAATAAAAAGTTAAAAGGGGAAAAAAAAAAAAACTGTAGGTATGAGGTATTTGTGTTGAAGCACACAAAAAATGAGACTTCTTACCAGAGGTGTGGACTCGAGTCACATGACTTGGACTCGAGTCAGACTCGAGTCATTAATTTTATGACTTTAGACTTGACTTGAAGAAATGTTCTAAGACTTGTGACTTGACTTGGACTTTACACCAATGACCTGGGACTTGAATTGGACTTGAACCGGTTTACTTGAAAAGACTTGATATTTTACCCCAAATATAAAATTTAACATGCATATTATATAGAGATTGAAAATGTGACGTCATTCACGGGTAGAACCGCAAAGGATTCTGGGAACTCGTGGCAAGAGGTACTAGCGCACGCAGGCTTTCAATTGAAATCAGTTATACAGTGATAAAAAGAAACACAAAAATGTCAAGAAGCTGTTGTATTATTAACTGCAATAGCCGGTCGCATGACAGCCACGGGAAGCCGACGGGTAAAGAGATCGGTTGTTATCGGATTACGTCGTTGAAGAGAAATTGTTCGAGCCATGTTTCCGAAGTAACAAAGAGGCGACTGGATTGCAGCCATTCAAAGATCAAATATAACGTCCCAGAACACTCCAGCTCACAGGTTAGTCTGCTCCAAGCATTTACACGAAGGTCAGTCTGCTGTTGTAGTTAATGCGTCATTTTCATAACATAATTGGTGATATAGGTTACAAGCAAGTCTGGCGCTGAACAGAAATTGTGGCGCTATGCTCCTTTGTTTATTGTGCATAAATAGTGAATTGTCCTGACACAATATTGCGTTTCGCTTCTGTTATTATGGTACACTGACAAAAACATATACTTTTATTCACAGGATAAAACAGGTTTTTTGTATCACTAATTGCCCAGTACGATTACAGCATACAATATTGTTGTCACTGCTACATTTCTGTGATGCTACCAGAAATTATTTCCACTACTAATTAATTACCGTTGAGCTCAAAGGTCCTATTAATAAACGGTTAACGAATGTGTATTTATGACGACGATTTGTGAGACTGGTAAACTTATGATACGTATGATGGTCTTTCGTTCTACACGGTGCATTTCAAGGTCCTGTACCCATCCGTCGGTAAACGGTACCTGGGCTTGTTGCAGTGACCGGAAGTTACTAAACTTCATGAGTGTGTGCACTCACTCCAAGAAGCGTATAATTGTAAATATGCATATAAATATGCTAAGATGAGATAGCTGACTTCATCTAACTAGCAAATGTTGTCCAGGCTACGTTGGTGATGCAGTTTTTTTTTAATGTGTATGATATTTTTGTCATGCGATTTTAAAGCCGGTCCTACAAGCGCATCCAAGAATAACATGCAGCTTATCTCAGAACTGTCGGTGAAAATTATTCTTGGAGCTAGGTTTAATTGAGCTGCATTTTAAAGAGGTGCAATTTCACAATTTGTGTATATTTTCTAAGTTCACTATTTTGTCATGTGTTGAGAAAACCACAGATTTAAAAATTACATGGTCTAATATTTACATTTAGCATAACTGCAACATGCTTTTTTCTTTTTTTTTTAAAGACTCGAAAGGACTTGAAATTCAAAATTTCAGGCTTGTGACTTTACTTGGACTTTTACACCAGTGACTTGAGACTCGACTCTGACTTGCCTGACATTACTTGAGACTTGACTTGAGACTTGAGGATAAAGACTTGAGACTTACTTGAGACTTGCAAAACAATGACTTGGTCCCACCTCTGCTTCTTACAGATAAAATGAGAGAAACTGCAGTTTTTGGTATTTCTGTTTAAACCATAGCTGTGGCAAGAAAACATTAAACTTCTCTTCACTTTGTCTTTTAGCTTGTGTAACTACTAAAGGAATATTCAAAATCATAAAATTTTACTTTGTAACTTTTGCTTGCTCAGCCCATGTAAGCATTTTGTGACATTTTACAATGTTAAAGGGTCTTAGGGCTTAAAGTAAGAGTCATTATCCTTGTCATGAAATGATGCATGAATTCATACCTGTTTAAATGTTACCACATAGACACAAGCCAGTTAGGAAACCACTAACTAATGGGTGTTATGTGGTCTTTTAGAGCTTATTCATTTTGACTTCCTGACATCAATACAGTTAAATTATTTATCAGGGCATAATCATTACCACAGATAGACAGACACTGGGTACCTTCAGAGTCATGAGACACTAACCAACTACCTAAATACTCACTCATGGACAAATTTAGTGTATTTGTCTGAGTCAGGCAGAGAAAATAACACATTCACATCCTTCTTCTGGCCAATGATTAGGTACCAGAAGCTCTCAATAAAGTTTTGTAATTAGACACTTTTGGGGGTGGGGGTGGGGGAGTAAACAGCTTTCCTATATTAGTAAAGTTAAGCATTTCTTTATTTAAACTGTAAAAGTATTCGCTGAAAAAAACTCCACAAAGACTGTCTCTGCTTTCATAAATGGAGTTTTTACTTGGTCAGTATGTAAAGTAAAATGAAGGTAGTGTTGTGGCCTTTTGTTGTTGTTGCTCATATTCTCCTTGCTCAAGGTCGGTGTTAAACAATTTCCAATATTACATGAAATCCTGTATGAGGTACAGAAAACCTGGTGACAAAATTTCGCAATGAGAAATTTGCTGAGTCACTCCACTCTTCTCTATATTTTGCTACCGAGGAGCCAGACTTTTGTCTTATTTTTAAAGTGGTCTTGAGCAATATTCCTCCAGCTTTTCTAATGATTTTTCAAAGATTATCTTTAAATCTTTTCTGCTTTTTTCTTGTTGAACCACTTAACACAGACCTACGAATCATTCAAGCATAAAAAGGACACCTTATTCAAGGGTCTTGTTGTTGTGTCTACACAGAAGAAACAACTTCACCAAGAGATACTCTGAAGTTGTATC